ATAAAATTTTTCATTTCCATCTAAGTTTTGGTGGTGTTGTTTTGACATGAATTCATTTCATCGGGATAAAAATTAAAGTGCTCAAATTCTAACGGTTATTCCATTTTATCCTCGGAGACAGACATCCAAACTAAACCTCAAGCATTTATGGTGAGAGGACAAATCTATTTTAAGGAAATTGTGTACTTAGGCCCTGGGTTGCAAATTTACAGTATTCTCAGCGAATAATATATCTCTACAATTTTATTATCTATTTATTTATATTCTTGTTGTATTAAAAAAAAAAAAATCATGTTATTCTTTAATTTTATTATTGTAACAATGTAACAAAGAAAATTCATTCCGTGAGATTGACATGTTTATTGGATCTTCTTTTATCATTCCCTCCAGAATGCAGACTTTGAAAAGCATTTATGAACCTGAGTTGAAGTCCTCGTCCTAACGAAATGCCTTGAGATATTTCCCCAGTCGCCATTTCCATACCTTTCGAGTCCGAGCAGAAATTACTTAGGAGGTTCACCATCAATATATGCCCTTCTTTGGTCCCCCTTATTTCCAAAATACATTTCTCTCTCTTACTTTCAACCATATATTTTTCTATAAAATAATATTATATACAAATTCAAAACTTTCCCTTATTTTTAGTAACACATTCTACATGAAAATACTGTTCCAAAGTGCATTTTGGGGAAGAAAAATGGTGCTCAAAAATATCATCAGAGGAAAAGAATTTGGGTAATTGGCACAAAACGTCCCTATCTTTCAAGTTTATTGTGGAAAACGTCCCTACCTTTCATTTTTTGGCATTTTCGCCCTCATTTCAACCTTTCTTTGCGCTGGACGTCCTTCCGTCCATATTCCGTCAGTTTTTCCGTTAAACATTCGGGTAATTGGAACAAAACGTCCCTACCTTTCAAGTCTATTGTGGAAAACGTCCCTACCTTTCATTTTTTGGCATTTTTGCCCTCATTTCAACCTTTCTTTGCGCTGGACGTCCTTCCGTCCATATTCCGTCAGTTTTTTCGTTAATTAAATACAAAAATATCTTTTTCTTTCCATAAACAAGGGTAAAATTGTCCTCACCCACTTCACCCCTTTTTCCCGCCATCAACTTAGTCCATAAGTAACAGTAGCAGCAACATGAATCTGAAAATACTTTAAATGATTAAGTTAAATAAAGAAAAAATATCGTGAACACATTATATTTCACAACTCCACAACTACTGTTGCTGTCATCTTATGTCACTAGAAAAATTTAGAAAGATATATTAAATGGGTAGTCAATTTATAATGAGTCAATTTAAAATGAGCCATTTATCTTCTCCATTGAGCCAAAAAGAGCCATTCACCATTTTGGCTCATTATAAATTGACTACCCATTTAATATATCTTTCTAAAATTTTCCAGTGACACAAGATGACAGTAACAGTAGTTGTGGAATTGTGAAATATAATGTGTTCACGATATTTTTTCTTTATTTAACTTAATCATTTAAAGTATTTTCAGATTCATGTTGCTGCTACTGTTACTTATGGACTAAGTTGATGGTGGGAAAAAGGGGTGAAGTGGGTGAGGACAATTTTACCCTTGTTTATGAAAAGAAAAATGTATTTTTGTATTTAATTAACGGAAAAACTGACGGAATATGGACGGAAGGACGTCCAGCGCAAAAAAAAGGTTGAAATGAAGGCAAAAATGCCAAAAAATGAAAGATAGGGACGTTTTCCACAATAGACTTGAAAGGTAGGGACGTTTTATGCCAATTACCCTTTAATTAACGGAAAAACTGACGGAATATGGACGGAAGGACGTCCAGCGCAAAGAAATGTTGAAATGAGGGCAAAAATGCCAAAAAATGAAAGGTAGGGACGTTTTCCACAATAGACTTGAAAGGTAAGGACGTTTTGTGCCAATTACCCAAAAGAATTTACTACATCAAGAAACTATTATTCAATACTTCTTTAGCATGCAACAAACTAACTACAACATTCTGAAGCCTTCAGTAGATCAAGTTATGTTAATTTCTAACTATCAGTTTCCTCAAAATGAACAGTAAAATGCAAGATTTTAGAACAGTTTTCAATTTAAAATTTAAAATTACAAGAATCTACAGCAGAACAAAGAATCACCTGCATTCTTCCTCTGTCCATGGATTCTCCTTTCCTCTCATGTTCCATTCTCAGTTCAATTTTGAAGTTTGTTACTGCCTGTTTGATTCATGGAATTTTCCATGAGTTTTTTTTTTCTATTTTCCATCTTTTTGGTTGTTTGATTCCACATTTTTTCTTGGCAATTCATTTTCCTTCCCCCCCCCCCCCCCCCTCCCCCTCCACGTCAACTTTTTCTTTGGTTTCGTGGAAAACCAGTTCCCATGGGTTTAGTGGGAATTGGTTTTTCCATTTTTAAAAAAAAAAAAAATTTTGGGCATTGGAAACAAATTTTATTCACAACTGTAACAAATTCTATCCATTTAATTGACAATTTTTATGAAAAACAAAGCCAAACTAATACCAAAAGATCCAATATTTCAATATTTTCTAGGTGAAAAACTATATCAATCAAACACATTTAATCGACAATTCTCAATAAAACAAGTTCTAAGTAATTTAATTCTCTGAAATACATTTTCTTTCTATCCAAATTCCATTCTTGCAATCAAATGGACCCTTAGAGGCAATTTGGTGACCACCTTCGTGGCAAAAGAATATGACAATAGAAGGACGGAAACATATACAAGTGGAGGTCCTTTATGACTAGATAAGCATTTAATAAAACACTTAATGGGAATATGAATAATTATTTACACAAGTTGTGAAATCTTGAAAAGGTTCCTACTTTCCCAGGGGAGGGGTTCATCACATTTAAATAAAGTGCTTTTAATATGCAAGTTGCAAAAATGTGCTTCTTTGGTAAAGAAAGAATAAGGTTACTTTGTCATTTATCATAAATTATAGTCAAAATGGTGATATTGCTATTGTTGCCTAAGAAATTTTTAAGCTAGTTGGTGGTGGGATCAGAAATAATATTCACAAGTACTGTTGGTGGACATAGGCTTTTCATATTGGTCCCACAGGGAGCAACATGCCGATAACATTCCAAGATGACAACTAACCCAAGAAAATAGATGTTTGGTATTCGGTATTTGACGGAATTGAACACTATGATGAATACATGGATAATAATTTTTTTTTTAATTATTTTATACTATTCAATTTATCTATCAAGCATGTCACGAGAACGTGTGATGAGAAAGAAAGATGAATATCTAGTGCCTTTACCCAATTGTGAACATTAGCACCAAGGCGATACCACAAGCATCTCATCGAGGTCACATAATAGAGTTTACAACTTATTCCATAGCAACATATTTAGATAAGACCTGTTATACTCATCATGAATAAATTGAGAAGAGTTAACTCGTGAATATTAACAAAAGCTTATTTTACATCTAGTTCAACTTGAGCAAGAGAACATAAATAAATAGTTTGTTCTTTTTCGTAACATCTTATACTTTTAAATTAAGTGAATCGCCAAGATAAGAGAACATACAAATGCTCGTAGAGCTAGTTACAACGCCAGCCATTTATAAAATTTTGGGTTTATCCCACCAAGGGCCCTCACCTTTCGTAAGCATGACATCGATGTTATCAACCTTTTAACATTGTGCGTGCAATATCCTAACATGATGGGAAAATCCCATTTAGTGGTATAAGGCCACACCAGGCACATGTTGGATAGTATGAGCATTTAGGGCACACGACTTGTACTAGACACTTGAAGAATAGGCATCACACGTGATCTGTACTAAAAGATTTACTATCGATGTATTAAGATATGGACAAGATGGAGGAAGTTGATGAGGATGCATGGCCTTTTACCATGTAAATAGTTTTTTTTCCTTCATGTTAGAATATCGTGTGCACAACGTTATAAGTTGAGGAATAGCACCATGATAAAATGACTTGGACATGAATGTCACACTTCGTGAAATCTTGAAGACTATTCAATTTTTTTCCTGTGTTTTCATTTCCTAGTAAATTAAATTCTCATTAGATTCTTGTCCAAAGGTAAAAGTGATTATATTAGTGTTACTAACTTTTCAAGGCCTTTCCAAACTATTATTGTTTCCCATAGATGTTATCAAATCATTTGATTATTCACTTAAGTTCCTTACTGCACTTGATTAGGAGAGAGATTTACTTCAGAATCCCTTTTAAGAAATTCAAGATTGATATAATTATTTCCCACTCAAAAGAGAGAATCTTGCCAACATATTTAGAGATCTTAAAAATGAAATCTATTTGACATTTTTATAACTAATTAGGACCATTTTCAGAAGATTTGGTTTGTTCATTCAAATATTTTATAATATGGTTGGCATGTTGAATAAGATGTTCCTTTCTTATTAAACCCACTAGTTCTGTTTAGTTCAGCATACCAAATTAAAAAGTAATGATAATATTAATGACGAAAAATAAACAGTAATCATCGGAATTTCCCTCTCAAGAACTCAATCTTGACAAGTATTGGTGGTTTTTTATACAAGAGTCATCAGCCTTTGAGGATACATATGTCACTTGAACAACCATTGTTTCAACGTGAAGAAGGAAAAAAAGGATCAACCATTGGCTTATCATGGGGAATGGATTCTCTCTGGTAAAGATTTGGGTCCTCAGAATTAAGTCAAATAGGTTCTTTGCAAGTGAAAAGTCACATTTTTCCACTTGGAATCTTTAGAAAAGCAGAGTTTACTTAGCATTTTGGCTAAAGAGTGATGCTGAATTACTGAATTTGGGAGAAGCATGAAGTATCTGATGCGTAGTCGTTAGTCATTGTCAAGTGCCGCCCACAAGTGATCAACAATTACCGTGGTTCAGTGTGAAGAATGTCTTCTCTTTAGTTGACCCGAGAGCCTGAGGATATCCCGGAATAGACATTTTCCGGGGCACCTCACACTTTTTGCGAAAACCCGCACAAATTATTTCATAACAATGGTCTTGTAACAAAGGGTCTTTGAAGATGCCGAAACAGCAACAATGTTTATGATAGTTGCAACTTTCACGATCGACACCTTCCGTAGCTCTGAACTCATTCTAAGAAAACCTTCATGTAGCTGGAGTTTTACATACCCTGTGAACTTAAAAAGGATAATTTACTTGACAATGTGTCTCTCCTAATGCAGCATCTTGAAATCCTTAACAATACACAACTGACAACTTAAAGTTCAGGACACAAGGTAACTCGAGTTGAGTATCTAACTTTCTAAAATGGAGATCATGAATATTCCAAAGAAAAATTTTGTAACACCTACAAATTTGTACCATACTTGTAGCAGCATTGTGAAATCACTCATATGGTGGGCTACACCTGAAAAATTGCACTGGGATGTCCAAACTCGAGTCCATTCGATGTAACATTCTGCATATGTAGATCATGCAGATTTAATCCAAACGGAGCAGTCCCTCTGAGATGCGTTCGGATTGAGCTGCAATTTGGTAGATTGAATCCTTGACTCGGCATAGTAGAATCACGTTCTACTTTGATCTTGGCATTCATATTCGGATTCTGTTTCTGTGGTGAATGAGGCCTATCTTCTTCTGGTAAGGTCCATTCAGTTTCTGTAAGATTGACAGTTGTGATATCATGTATGCTGGACCTTCTTTTATTTTTCCCTCCAGAAAGCTGCCTGATAAAGTATTTCTGAGCATGACTGGCAACCTGAGTCGGAGTCCTTGTCGTTACAAAATTTCGAGAGATATTTCTCCAGTCTCCTTTTCCATACTTTTTGAGCCCCAAAAGAAATTGCCTGAGGGTTCACCATCAATAGATATCATCAGACGAAAAGAAAAATGCTTTGCATAAGTAACTACAACGTGTTCGTAGGTTAAAATCCCGTATGGTGTACTGTTTAGTCCAATCTAGCACTATAATCAAGTTATGCTAATTTCTAACTATCAGTTTCATCAAAATGAACGCTATCAAAATATGTCCTTCCCTTTTGCCAACTTTATGACTTTGATTGCAAAAGACAGAAAATCCTGCTTTATTTAACTAAAGGCAAGATTTTAAAATAGTTAACAATATAAAATTTACAATTACATGAACGAAAAATCACCTGTGTTCTTCCTCAGTCCATGGAACTCCCTTTCTCCTTTCATGATCAGAAGAACGAGCCAACGAATTCCTCTTCCCTCCAGGACCATAGAGATGTTTCAATCCATCATAGCCATGGCTATTCACCCACTCCAATGTGAAAGAATTAATATTATTGGTATAGCCTGGTATTGGATAAAGCCCTGCTTCTATATCACTGACATCATCTACCAATTCAATGTATTGTTTGATCACATCACTTACAGTCTTTCCAGGGATCATAGCTGCAACATTATCCCATCGATCCGGAGTATCCTCGTCGAATAATGCTAGAGCTTCCTCAAACATTTTGTTCTCTTCAGGTGTCCATTTTGTCCCCTTGTTCTCCTCAAAAGGCCAATTTGAGGAACTCAAATATGATGCAGGAGATAAGAGTTCCATTTCCCAGTTCATTTTTTGCAGCTACTCTAACAGGCGACTTGGTGAACCCCTTCAAGGCAAAAGAATTTGACAATTGAAAGAGGTACACACATACAAGTGGAGGTCCCTTATGACTAGATAAGCAATTAATCAAACAAAAAACTTATTCACATAAGGTGAGGAATCTAGAAAAGGCTCCCACTTTCCTAAACCCAAGGAAAACACAGGAAGTGTGGAAAAAGTAGATCTTTCATGTAAATATTTCTTTAACTAATCAAAAGGCATAAACATCTAAGCAAAAGTAAGAAAGACTCAAGATTTACAGAGAAAGAAAGAATTTCAAGTAGATGGTGAAGAAAGAATGAGAAAGATTTGTTACTTCTTTTCTTTAATGATGGGGGTTTGAAAGTACTTTTAGACGAGATACTTCAACGTCACATCAGACTAAATAATTGAGTTTAATTCTTACTGTGGCACATTTCAGAAATGAGACTTTTGATGGTAGAGCATGTTGAAGTTCCTTTACGAGTACAAACTTTTAGACGAGATGGACTAGCACGACCTACTAATGAATTTACAGAAGAGAATCCATGTTTACCAGTAATTTGTACTTGTAAGTTAGAGGGCAAGATTTGGAGATAACACAGTAATATTCTAATAGAAGAAAGAGGCTGAGAAATGAGAAGTATTGAGGACGATTGGTTGAAGGTGTCTGTGGGGTCTGCTTAAAGGACAAACTGTTATGGGTATAGTATATGGATGCATCTGCCTCAGGCATTTTTGTTATTGGAATTGAAGGGAGAATTAGTGGTGTCCACATTTTTTGCTGCTGAGGGCAACTACCTTTGTCATGGCGCAAATACGTCCCATCGAAATGAGTATTAAAATTCATATCATAAGACGCTATCGACTTACTCTAACCCTCTTCATTTTGTCAAGAATGAAACCCGTATACCAATTCGAGAGCAATAATACACGAAACTGCAAAAAAGGATGTACAAAGTTTTAGTAATGCATTCTCATTGTGAAAATTTAAGGCTACCCTAGCAGATATTTTACTGTGTTATGGCCAAACTGATGTAAATGCTGATATTTCAGAGTTTTATTCACACTGTAGAATTGGCAGTGGTGGTCCAGTATAATTTAAACCACAAGCAAAAGAGTTAAAAGGGTGTAAAAAGTTACGAGAGTCTCCCATTATTGATGCAAGGAAAAGGTTTTCAATACAATATGAACAAGACAAACATAAATGTGGCCAGCACCAATGGGGACCGTCTGTATTGGACCACTCCATAAAGGTTAAAACGGAAAATAATTGTTGAGTTGATGGCCACATCGAACTAGGCACAACATGACACGATCGAAAAATATAAACTGCGGTGAACCCATAAAAAAAATGGACCGGGCCACCTCAATGGCTAGATCAGGTCGTTTTACACTTCACGGCAATCGAGATGTCAATTAACTTGCGTGATAGTGAGGTAGGTATATGTGTGAGGACAAACAAGTTGGTCTATACATTCTAAGCTCTACTTATGCTTGAAAAAAATCTAAGCCGTAGCTATAATTACAACAGAGGAATTAGTAGATTATACTTGGACTTATAACATAAAATTCAAGCCACGCTCACATCCCTACAAAAGGTAGGCCGTCGAATCATTGGTCAATAATATAGATTCAAATATTTAAACTTACATTAAGACAATGATAATTTCTTGCCCATAAACGAGTTATCAACTTTTAATCCATACTGAAACTAGCCTCCTATGGTTTGATGTTTTTCTTAGTAAACATTTAATAAGTTAGCAGGACTAAAGAAAATAAAAAAGGGTTACTAATACACAGGATATAATTGCTTTTTTCTTACTTGTTTTGTCCAATTCTATTCAATTTAACGTACTAAACATGATAAAACTTTCTTAAATAATGTCATTATATGCTAATTAATTAGGAAAAACTTCAGCCAAATGAAACAGCTGGATATTGTGACATTATGAAAGGTTCATTGTATGTGTAGTTCCGAAATGGAGTCAAAAGAGTACTAATTATAAGTGTATTGTCACTTTTATGTCAAGAATTTTAAATTCCTACGTGTGCATAAATTGTTTTCTTTCAAAAGAAAAGTATTACTTTCAATTATTGGAAGTAAACTTGAAATCAAGGCATTGACTGGTTGGTTTTCCACTCCGATTTGTCAGCTTTTACAACTTTTTACTGTCTTAGGTTGGGGTGTAAAGTGGCCTTTTTTATTTGGCTAAAAATTAAATTTTAAGATTTAAATAAAATTGATGAAATGTGTAGTTCAAAAGTTGATAAAAGTCGTGCATTCCATAAGATATGAGGTTAAAAATAATTTTTTTAAAAAATGGGGCCGAACATGGGCTAGATATATACCTTTGTTAGACTCTGAGATGCTAGTAGGCCTATGAGCCATGCAGTTTGGTCATTTTGGTTGGTTGGGGGTGACCGTTTATTTTAACTGAATCAAGAGTAAAATCATCTTTTCCAATTAAGATTTGACTTTCTTACGAAAAAATAGATGACAAATGTCCATCAAGAATCAATATCCTACAAATTTAAAGTGAAAAAACTTAATATGAAGAAATAAATATTGTGGACTGTTTGCACAAACTTAATGGGTTGGGATCCTCAAATACATTTTCCATGCCCTTTTTTTAGCTCTTAAGTTTTCAAAAAGAAGAGAGATAAATTATTATTCCCATGTCATATACAAAAGAAATGAGTAATAGTGTTTAAAGATTTCAACTTAGCGCCTGTCTGGACGAGCTAATTAGGAGAAAACGGACTGTTATCAATTAAAAACGAGGGCAGTGGCTGCCAACTCGTCAGAACATATGTCAAGCTATTTGACGATTCTGCCCCTACATATGTTGGTAGCTCAAAGTCTTTGGGTAACGTGTGACTATAAATGAGGAGGGCAATTGTGAAATTTGGAGAAAAATTCCTATTTTTATGTCTGACAAGTGCTCAGAAATGTTACAGAAATTATGTATTTCAACGATTCACTTTCCACTAATTAGTCGGTCCAGACAGGCGCTTAATTAGTTAGGCGTTAGAAAGTAAAGGTATTGCTACATAAATAATGTTGGACTTTCAACAAGTGGAATGTTTCTTATTCCATTTTTCTTTTCTAAGAGCGACCCAAAAAATAATATGTGGTCCATTTTTTTTGTTTGACTAAATTAAATATACTTTTAACAAATTCCTCTCTCTCTCTCTCTCTCTCTGTGAAAAGTTATAACTGTATATATATTAATATATAACTAACGAAATAAGTCAAGTACCTTTAATATTTTCAGAAAATAAATTCAATAATTAAGTTTTAATATTTAACCAAAAAATTACTTCACATAAGTGAATTTGAAATATTGAAATTTTTAGAAATTTATTATAAGAATAGTAAGTGTAAAATATTAGATTTTAATTGCCAAAATACAAGCAAATAAAAAATAATTCCTTATACGTATATATAATTATAATATATTCTAAAAATGGAAAAAAAAAAAAATAATTATCCCTCAAAAAGAACTAATAGTTTGTGATCCACTTGTGATATATGTAATTCCTCATAGGTCAAATTATTTCTTAGTTGATAGCAAAATGTGTAGTTTAGTGATTGATAGTTGCAATAAAAAGTTCCTCATATGAGCATCACAAGTCCATGCAACATGGGTTGGAAAAAGTCACATTAGTTTGCATAATTATTGCTTTTATCCATTTTGTTTGTCTAAAGTTAGTTGGAGTGCTTCACTTTTCAAGATTACTTATAGTTGTCCACGCTAGAGTTGTCGAACCGGCGTGCTCATTTGGCATGACTCATATTTTGGTAACTTGAGCCATATCGTTGTAGGCCTAAGCACTACACAAGTCCATGCAACATGGGTTGGAAAAAGTCACATTAGTTTGCATAATTATTGCTTTTATCCATTTTGTTTGTCTAAAGTTAGCTGGAGTGCTTCACTTTTCAAGATTACTTATAGTTGTCCACCTAGAGTTGTCGAACCGGCGTGCTCATTTGGCATGACTCATATTTTGGTAACTTGAGCCATATCGTTGTAGGCCTAAGCACTATCTGTCCCTGAACCTCCGGCCCCTCAGCTGCTCAGGGAGGTAAATCGCAGGATGTGCCCTTGTTGGCTCCCAGGTTCCCACAACTTATTTGGACTCCTTCCGCAAAGAGAGCTCTTCTCACTGGGCGTTAGAAAGTAAAGGTATTGCTACATAAATAATGTTGGACTTTCAACAAGTGGAATGTTTCTTATTCCATTTTTCTTTTCTAAGAGCGACCCAAAAAATAATATGTGGTCCATTTTTTTTGTTTGACTAAATTAAATATACTTTTAACAAATTCCTCTCTCTCTCTCTCTCTCTCTGTGAAAAGTTATAACTGTATATATATTAATATATAACTAACGAAATAAGTCAAGTACCTTTAATATTTTCAGAAAATAAATTCAATAATTAAGTTTTAATATTTAACCAAAAAATTACTTCACATAAGTGAATTTGAAATATTGAAATTTTTAGAAATTTATTATAAGAATAGTAAGTGTAAAATATTAGATTTTAATTGCCAAAATACAAGCAAATAAAAAATAATTCCTTATACGTATATATAATTATAATATATTCTAAAAATGGAAAAAAAAAAAAACTAATTATCCCTCAAAAAGAACTAATAGTTTGTGATCCACTTGTGATATATGTAATTCCTCATAGGTCAAATTATTTCTTAGTTGATAGCAAAATGTGTAGTTTAGTGATTGATAGTTGCAATAAAAAGTTCCTCATATGAGCATCACAAGTCCATGCAACATGGGTTGGAAAAAGTCACATTAGTTTGCATAATTATTGCTTTTATCCATTTTGTTTGTCTAAAGTTAGCTGGAGTGCTTCACTTTTCAAGATTACTTATAGTTGTCCACCTAGAGTTGTCGAACCGGCGTGCTCATTTGGCATGACTCATATTTTGGTAACTTGAGCCATATCGTTGTAGGCCTAAGCACTATCGCAAGGTTTAGGCGACAAAATAGTCTGTAGCTGGGCACTACTAGTTTGTGGTGTATCCATTAAGATTAATCAAAAACCTTGGCATATTGTACATTTTTGTTATGATGTGCCCATATGACTCGTGGGCTTGTCGGACCTAGATTGTCTAGTCCACTTTACCTCAATAGTAGTCGAGCCTCCAAAAAAAAAAAAAAACACACACACACACACACAATCATGTTCTGAAACATGGTATCAAAACAACATATGAATTGGTCTCTTTATTTGAAATCTTGTGGAATTTTTGTAAATTAAATCGCAAATGATACAACACTTAATTATTATCCTCTACTTGAGAAAAAATTTCTTTACTCAAGAAACAAACAAATCTCAACTCTTTGCACTTTACCAATTGTTTTATTGACTCAATCCTTTCCTGTTTTTGCTTCTTCATTGATGTTCCATTTACCTTTTTCCTCTTTTAAACACTTGAAGACTACACTTCAATTATGACTGCTCGAAACTGATAATCTCTGTCGAAAATTAACATTTTGGAAGATCTTTTGGAGGTGGAGGAACAGATTCATTA